TTTGAATTTGTAGTGATTGCAGAGTGTCAGCTCTCAGTGACAGCGTAGTGTATTTGAACATTGAATCATATCGCGTCGCATTGTGGTGCAAGTCCTGTTTATGCTGTTGCAACGTGCGGTGTGGAGCTCCTATGATACCATGCTGCACGGCACCGTGTTTTGCAGTGTTGGGTTGTGCTCTTCTGCCACTCGTGCAGCGTACTAAGATGGCAAGGTCAATTTGTTTTGCGTAGCTTGGCAACCCCTCATCGCTTTACGTATCTGGCACCCTCGTGCTCTCTTTCACTTTTCTGTTTGCCCTCCCCTCCTCTGGCGGCACCCCATTTGATATACAGCACAGGGACTCGGCAGTGATGGCGGGCCATGTTACAAGCAATACAAACGTGGCCGCCAGCTTGGCAGTCGTGCAGCACGGCCTTCGCTGATCCTGCTCATTCCCCGACTTGACCGAAGCAGGGACGTTGTCTTCATCCAGTTTCAGGCGTCGCCTTTGCGTTGCGTGTCGTTGCAGACGCTGGCTGCTGCGCGCGGCCCTGGCGCGCATCCGCACCGCGTGGCGCCCGCGGCGCCTTCGACCTGGGGCCCTCCCCGACCAGCCTGCGCGAGTTGGTGGTGGTTTTCCGGCCGCGCGCAGAGGTGGGTACAGTCGGGGCCCTGAAGAAGGAACCCTGTTCGTTGGGGAGGGGCTCCGCGTTCCTTCAGTGGTTCACGGCTTGCCTCAGGCTTTCCTTATGTTTTCGACAGGAAATCGGAGGTTAACTTATGGAAAAAAGGGGCCTCGTTCCTTATTTAGGGTTCCTCAGGTCAACGCCCCGACTGTATGGGGGGAGGGGGGACGGCTTCTTAGAAGCACCACCACTTCTTCCCAGAAGGCTCGGGCCTTGTCTGTGCATGTAAGGCTGGCGCCTTCCAATCAAGGGAGGAAAGACCACCTGGACCCGACAACTTACGTTTACTTGACGGCCCTGGGCGTTTGCCAAACAGCCCTGCCTTGTTCGATTACTTCTTTGGGTGCGTTTAACTAGACGGCTTCGCTTGTCGGGGTGATTATTCAGGGGGTGGATTTTCTGCCCTCAATCTAGGAAGCAGCCACCTTGTAAGACGCCTTCCCCCCTCCACCATACCCCTCTTTGCGCCGCTAAGTTTCGGGGCTCCGCAGTGCGACATTGGAGTGCCAGGCAGTCCAAGCCGAAGACCAGCTATCTGGACATCGCCAGGGACGACAACAGCGAGCTCATGATCTGGCTGAGCGGTCCCTGCGAGATCCTTAGCGATCCTTTCGATTGGATTCTTGTTGGACGGAGCCCTGGCGCATCACAAGCCCTCGACGCCGATGATGGGGCCTCTGCCACCCTCGTCCCGACCCGGAAGCGGCCTCGCGACCCACAGGAGACCAGGCCGATGTGGAGAGGCAGGCCGGGGTCGACGTCCTTCCACGCGACGCCTCTCGCAGGACGGCCGTGGCGAGGTGGGATCTGTCTTGGAATCACCCGAGCACGGGGCCTGCAGCGGGCTCGGCCGTTGCCGCGCCCTCGGGCTGGGCGGCCGCTCGTGCCTCGTGCCCCTTGGCCCCGTGCCTGCGTGGCCTCTCGCGGCTCCGTCCTGCCCCCCGCGGCCTCAGCCGCTGCTCGCCCAGGCCACACCCTCGATGGCTGCTCGGTCGGTCCTGCCTCCCCTGCGGGCCTGGCCTCTGGTGGGTCCTGGGAGGTGTCGTGGGCCCGCGCGGGGGGGTGCACGTGCCCTGCAGCTGGCCCCATGGCCTGACGCACTGTCGCGCCCCAGCTCGGTTGGTTTGCGAGGGTGTCAGCACTCTGGGGTCGTTGCGTGACCCTTGCGCTGTGACGATTTCTGGACAGCTCTCCGCCCCCCTCTCCATCGCCTTGGACTCCCGAGCTGCGCTTTCCGCAGCGCGGGAATGCCGCTGTGCGGCCGCGCCGGCGCGTGATGCCGCCGCAGCGCTGCTGCCTGGACGGCGCGGCGGGTGGCGCCGCGGAGGCGGACGCGGCGGCCGGCGCCTCCGCCGCGGCGGGCGGCGCCGCCGCGACGAGCAGCGTCCCGACGGCGGAGGCTCCTTGCGAGGCCGACGCGCACGCCAAGGCCGCCGTGGCGGAGGAGGCGCTGCCAGGCGAGCCAGAGGGCGAGGGGGCGGATTCCCTGCGGCTGGCCGACGTTGCATTGGACCCCGCCTTATTCGCGGGCATCGAGGTGCCCGTCCCCGACTCCGACTCCGAGGAGGAGGAGGCGCCGTCGGCGCCGGGCAGCGGAGCGGAGCCCGGGGGGGCGGCGGAGCGGGTCGGGGCGCCCGCCCGCCGCGACGCCGCCGAGGCGGCGGCGGAGGACCTCGTCGCGCCGCGCTCGGCTGGGGCCGAGGAGGCGCCCCGCCAGGCCGAGGAGGCGCAGGCTGCGGCGGCGCCGCTGCAGGCGCAGGAGCCCTGGCCTCCCTGGGAGTCCGTCGCCCGCGACCTGCAGACGCCGCGGGGAGCCGCCGCGCCGGCCGGTCCCGGCGTGCCGCCGCCGCCGTCGCTGGCGGCGGGCGCCGCGGACGCGCCGCGGGGCGCCGACGCCGAGCACACGCCGCCCCCGCCGCCGCCGCCGCCACCGCCGCCGCGGCCGCCTGGCCCTGCGTGGGGCGCCTGCGCCGCTGGGCAGCCGCCGCCAGCGCCTCCGCTGGCGCCTGGGCTGCTGGCGGCTCCGGCGGCGGCGCCCTGGCCGCCTGCAGCGCCTGCGGCGGCGCCAGCGGCGGCGTCTTGGCCGCCGCAGGCGCTGACGGTCTCGCGCTGGGCGCCGGGGGGCGCCGCGCTCACGGCGGACCAGTACCTCGAGTGGATGCGGGCACTCCTGCGCCGGCAGAGGGAGTCGGAGGATGCGATCCTGCGCTTCGTGCAGATCGACGTCCTGCCCCACGCGCTCGACCACGCCGGCTTCCAGATCCGCGCCTTCGGCAGCAGGGCCTACGGTTGCGCCCTGCCAGGCAGCGACGTCGACGTCTGCGGGACCATGGACCCGGAAGCTGCCTCGAGCGTGAAGGTCGCGAAGCGCGCCCTGCTCGAGAGGATGCTGGAGCTGATACGAGCCGACCGCAGGTGCACGGCCGTCAAGAGCGCCATCGTCTACAAGGACACGATCGAGTTCAAGTTTGCCGAGCTGCGCGTGGACTTCACCTTCAACCCCTGGAAGCCCATGGATCAGCACACGCCGTCTGTGCTGACCGACTGGCTCGAGAGGTCCATCTCGGAGCTGCTTGAGCCTGACCGAGCTGGGCGGTTCATCCAGCTGCTCTTGGACTGCGTCCGGGACACCGATGCCTGCCACAGCCATACTAAGGGCTCCATCGGAAATCGGCTGAAATCCGTTCACTGGGCCCTGCTCGGCATCGCATACTGGAAGACCCTCCGCACGGTGGGCGTGAATCGACCCGTGCAAGGCATTATTCAGGGGTGTTTGAGCTACTACGGCAGGTTGCCTTTCGAGAAGATGCTCGTCGACGCGCGGGGAGATGAGCCGTTCACGTCGAGGCCCGCACACCTCGATCCGCACAAGCACGTGTACATCCTCGACCCCACCGACGGGGACCAGGTGCGCAACCTCGGGGATCGGGTCGACGCGGACGCACTCAGGCTCTTGAAGACGGCCGTGACAGCGGTGAACGACCAGTTGGACAGAGCATCAGGGGAACGAACAGTGACATTCACATAAAAACTTTGAGGCCCGCGCGGATTTCTCGGATCGGCGCTGGGGCCCTCCTGGCGGCGCCTCCGGCGCGCTCCGCGCGCCAGGGAGGGGGGCCCAGCGCCGCTCCGAACACTCCGCGCGGACCTCCGAGCTTTTATGCTTACAGTCAACCCGAATAGTGAGGATGGGCAACGTCCCAAGCGTTCCCTTGCGTCCTTGCCTCCTCGGCCCATCCGCGGCCACTGTCGTTGGCCGCGCCCCGCTCGAAAAGCTTCGACGCGGCCCTCCAAGGCCCTTGCAGCTTTACAGTGAGCGGCTTGAATAAGGAACACTTACTTTTCAAAAGGGGCTCGGTCGTTCCTTAGGTTTTACATGCGTTATTTACAGTTCCTTATGCGTTATCTATTATTGATCGTTCCTTATTCGTTATTCCTTGGGATAAAACGGGGCTTCGTTCCTTATTTTTCGTTCCTTAGGTCAGGCCGATGACTGTATCGCGCATCCTTACTATACTGGTTGACTGTAGGCCATGGTCCGCTCCCCGGAGCGTCCAGCGCTTTCTGGTCGGAGCGCTGCAGCCGTTGGCGAGCGGCAGAGGATCAGGAGGGAAAGAAACACACAGACACAACGAATCGTGGACTCCCAGGAAAGTATGGGAAACTATGGGAAGTGGGGGGGAAAACGAAAGCCCAGAAGAGATGGGAAAAGATGGGGGACCCTGTGACTTGTGTCTATCTATCTGTGTGACCCTGGGCCCCTTTGAGAGGAGCGTACCTACGGCGAGCCCGCGCCACGCCCCCTGGCGCTCTGTGACGTGCCACACGGCCCGGCGGCGCCGCGGGCCGCGCCGCCGCCGCCGCGCTGGGGCGCGCCGGCCGTGCTGTCGGAGCGGGAGCTGCCGCCGAGGGGGAGCCGTGGGCACCAGAAGGCTCAGATGAGGAAGAGGTAGCCATACATCTCCCTCCTCCCTCCTTCTCCTCCTTCCTCCTCCCGACCTCCTCCTTCCTACCTCCTCCTCCTCCTCCTCCTGCTCCTCCTCCCTCCCTCCCTCCCTCCCTCCCTCCCCCCTCCCTCCCTCCCTCCTCCTCTCCTCTCCCTCCTCCTCCTCCTCCTCCTCCTCCTCCTCCTCCTTCTCCTCCTCCTCCTCCTCCTCCTCCTCCTCCTCCTCCTTCGCCGGTCTTCTTCTTTTTGGGCCTCCGGGGGGGCCGATCGTCGCCACCGCTGAATTCGCCTCGGAATTCTGGTCAGAACGCACCCCGGGAGAGGTCCGGGGGTAGCGGTATCGGTACCTTTTGGCTTCCCCCAAGGCGGAGCAGCACGTGGCCCGCATGGTGGGCTCTTGGGAGGACGAGGAGGGCGTGGCGTTGCGCGTCGAAGCGGAGGGCGGCGAGCGCGTGGAGGGGGGCGGGCCCGAGGTGCTGCTCCAGGTGTTCGCGCGAACGGAGTCTAGCCGCCGACAGGTGCTCCCGGTGTTCGACGAGGACACTTGCTCACGCATGCTTCTCATGGAGTTGGATGGGGAAAGGAACGTCTGGAAGCTGGACGGGAAAGCGTGTAAGCAGGACGTGCTCGTCTGGAGGTTGCTCGGCGAGGACCGGGCTGAGACATGGCGCCGTCTGCAGGATGTCTAGACATTTTGCTGCTTTGTTCGTGTTGGCACACGGGCACTGTACAGTTCGCAGCGGAATTTAGCACTCGAGATGCGCAGCGGCTATTACTCATCATTATCATCCTGCACCATTCCTCATCCTGCACCGTTGCACTTCCCTTCTTCTTCTCCCCCTCCTCGTCCCGATACCCTTCCGTCTCTTCTCCCATCCTCTATTCGTCTCCTGCCGCTGTTCGCATGCCTACCCGTTCCCTCCTCCTCCCCCTCTCCCTCCTCACCCTCCCTATGATAAGGGAGGGGGAGGAGGAGCGAGACGGGGACCCTACCCGTTTCCTCCTCGTCGCCCCCCCCCCCCCCCCCTGTCCCCCGAGGCCCTGCAGGCGCCGCCGTGGGTCGTGCGGGCCCCTGGCCCGTGCCGAGCAGGTCGGCCTTCGAGCTCGGGCTCCCGGCCTCGAGCACGAGATCGAGACCCGCTGCCCCTGTCAGGCGATCGCAAACATGGATCCAGGGGGGCGTGGAAAATCATGACGGGTTGTTTTTTCGCTATTTTCGGCCTTTGGGGGCCCTTACCGCCCTTAGGGACCGTCAACAAAAGGACTCAGGATGAAAAACCGGGCCAGGGAATAGGTGGAGACCTCCAGAGGTCGACGTACTGAAAAAATCATGACGCCGGGGCGTGGATCAGCGACGGGTGCTTCTCTCCGTTGGGAATCGCGGATTTCCGTCGCCGAGCGAGGCGGCACCGGCCGCATTCTGGGGAGGGGGCCTCCCCCGATCGATGGATTTGGCGGCCGCGCTCCAAATCCATGGATCGCTAATCCATGTTTGCGCGCCCCCGATCCTGTTCCTCATCGTCCTCCTGCCATTCTGGCTCAACTGTGACTCCCCTTGAGAGCGCCGAGAAGATGGCGACGGAGACTTGCACTGGATCACTCATGCCTCATAAGCTGGAAGGTGAGCGATTTCTGTGAAGGTGTTGCCTCCATTTTTCCGTGATCTCGATGAGGCTGTCCCACGGCGCATGCTTTTGTTGCACGAATGTTTCGCCCTGCGCAACGTCGAGCCCCCAGGGCGTATCGATGAGCACCGTGTTGTGGTCTCCTTCAAGAGGCAGGGCTGGGCGACATGCGACCCTCCACCGAGACTGTTACTGGAAAGTTTTAATTGCGGAGCAGAGCCCCCGCCACATTGGCGCATTGTGCTTTCTTGCGCTCTGGATTCGGTCGTGTTCTGGTGGGATCGGGAATTACTGATGGAGAGCCTCAGTGAGATTCGCAAACACGTTCTCTTAGTCTCAAACGACGCCCAGGTGATCATCGGGGTAGTTGCTAACGATCACTTGGTCTCGATCGCCGACTGGCATCGACTCATCTCATTCGGGCCCCCACACTCATTCTCCTCATGAGAACCTCCCCGTCTGGATCGACTCCCTTGGAAAGTTAAGGAAGTGGATTTATTCATGTGAGAATGTGGCTTACATTTTGAGAATGCTGATCATTGGTTCAAGTCTGGCCCTCATGCCCACCTCCCCGACCCCGGACAAACTCGCGACCTTGAGCAAACCGACTATGTGATGACCCGCAACTCCCCTCCTCGCCACTTGCCCGACTGTGGAATAGCTCCGCCAGCTCCTCATTTCCAGATTCGCGCGCGAGATCACTTGAGCAACGTGACCGAAGGGGCAATGCGTGACTTTCTATCCCCAGAACCTGCGAGCTGGATTTGTGACGACCTCATCTCGCATCGAAGCGCCATCGGCGTCGCGCTCGATACTGACCGCGCGACGCACGGGTTCTCTAAGGGTTCAGTTGGCCATGTCTCTCTACACGAGGAAGAATATTCAGGAATAGTAGAAAATCGTCAGGTGGCGAGTTTTCGTGATCTGTTGATCATGTTTGGCAATGTTTGATTATTTCTTTAAGGGGAACGAGCAATGGCAAAACCATACAAACTCGGAGGACCGCGCGGATTTCTTGGATCCGCGCTGGACCTCCCTCCCTGGCGCGCGCAGCGCGCCAGGGGCGGCGCCGGAGGCACCGCCAGGGGGCCCCAGCGCCGATCCGAGAACGCCGCGCGGACCTTCGAGTTTCTATGGTTATGTCATCGTTCGCTCCCCTACTTTTCTATCTTTCTTGCAGCTCCGCCTGTGGGAGGACATGCCCGACTTCCTTTGAGGGCGAGGAGGCCTCTTCAGGGGCAACGATAGGGGGGGGATAGGCATAGGGGGGGACGCATCGACTCCCAATCGCCCATGATCGCCGATAGGGGCCCGATAGCCCCAGCCTGCCAGGGAAGGTGCGGATTCGCTATCGGAGGCCTCTCGCCGATCTCTCGGCGACGTGTCGCCGATTCCAGGTCGATGCCTCCCCCCCTATCCCCGTCCCCCCCGATCGTTGCCCCCCTCACCTCTGGTGCTCTCCTGGACGGCTCGATCTCAACGACGGCGTGCGTCCCGTTGGAGGAGGAGGAGGAGGAGGAGGAGGAGGAGGAGGAGGAGAAGGAGAAGGAGAAGGAGGAGGAGGAGGAGGAGGAGGAGGAGGAAGAGGAGGAGGGAAGAGACGAGGGGGGGCCGCTGGCTCGCGGCGCCTCCTCGCCCCCCCCGCCGCCGATGCTCCTTGCCAAGAGGCTTACGTCTGCGCCTCCGTTGGCGATACATCTCGAGACTACAAGTTCAAGGCCGAGGGCCCCGATGTCCATGCTGAGCTGATCCCTGGTCGTTCGCCAGTACTAAGGACGTCCTATCTAGTTTCTTATAACCTCCGCTGCCTTGTTTGTGTAAGTTCAGCGGGTTTGCGGGCCTAGCTTCATGTCTTGGTAGGAGTGCGCGCAGGGGCCCTGCCCCGCCCCGGCAGACGCCGCGAAGGTTTCAATCGGGCATGCCCTTTTGCAGGAGGGATGTTCAACCCAGACATGGTCGCGTCGTGGGGGGAAATCAGGACGGGAGGTTTTCGGCCACTTGCGGCCTCGGGGGGAGCCTCGTCGGGCCTCGGGACCGTCAAAGAGCGACGCAGGACGGACAACCGGTCCTGGGGCAAGGGTCGGGGCTTCCAGGGACCCTGTATGGGAAAAAATCAGGGCGTCGCACGTCTGGGAAGAATCGTCAAAACATAGTATGTGGACGAAGCATTGCTTTTGGATTCTTGTTTATGTTTCTTCACAAATCCGCCTGTAGGAGGACGTGCCCGACCTAAGCGAAGATGCACCTGGCGACCCCGACAACGTAGTGCGCCCCAGGAACAGCATCGCGAGCCAGCGGGTCAGCAGGCGTCTCGAGAACGCCGCGCAAGCCGGCCTGCGGTAGGCAAACTCGCGCCCTGCATCCGGACCTGAAACGCGAGTTGACAAGGCGATGCCCCGCAGGTATCTGCGCGAGAACCCGGCCCGCCAGGGCGATGTTGTGCCGCTTGGGCTACGCACGGCCCCCTCCCAGCGGGCCCCCTCGCCGCACTGGCCCTGCTGGGCCGTACCGCACGGCCCCTCGCCGCACTGGCCTTGCGCTACCCCCAGCCTTAGCTTGCCTGACCGTACCTGCTTCTCCTCGCCCCCCCTTCGGATGCAACTCCTGGGAGCTCAAATTCTGATTTTGCCCTGGTCCGAAATCCGGCTCAATCCGGCTTGATCCCGCTTAATCTGGCCGAATCCCGCTTAATCCGGTTTAATCCCGCTTAATCCGAGGCCCACTCTGGCGCGACAGCCCCCTAATGGGGCTGAATCCTTCCTTAATCCTTCCGACGAAAACCTCCCAGTAGTTGCCTCCTAACTGCTTCTCCTCGCCCCCCCCTGCTTCCTCTCCCTCCCTCTCTCCCCTGTCGGCAGCGCGGCGGCCATGGGTGCCGAGGGCGCGGGTGCGGGCGAGAGCGATGCCGCGGCGGAGCCCGAGCGTATCCGGGCGGAGGCGCCGGAGGCGCCGTCCCCAGCCCCCCCCGCTTTTTGGAACGGGAGGAGAAGGAGGGTGGGAGGGAGAGGGAGGGAACAGGAATAGGGAGGAGGAACAGGAGAAGGAGGAGGAGGAGGAGGAGGAAAAGGAGCAGGAGGAGGAGGAGGAGGAGGAGGAGGAGGAGGAGGAGGAGGAGGAGATAGGGGAGGAGGGAGGAGTAGAAGGTGGAAAGGGGGAGGAGGGCGAGGAAGTAGGATGAGAAGGAGGAGGAAAGGGAGGAGGAGTAGGAAGAGTTGTAAGTGAGAGGGAGGAGGAGGAGAGGAGGAGGAGGAGAAGGAGGAGGATGAGGAGGACGAGGACGAGGAGGAGGACGAGGAGGAGAGGAGGAGGAGTAGGAGGAGGAGGAGGAGGAGGAGGAGGAGGAGAAGGACGACGACGACCACGAAGACGACGAAGACGACGACGACGACGACGACGAACGCTGCGACGATTGTAACGACGATGACAACGACGACGACGAGGGGAAGGGGGAGGCAGGGGGGGAAGAGGACGAAGAGAAGAGGAAGGGGGACACTGAGTGGGAGGCGGGCGGAGGAGTATCATGATGATCTGCAGGGGAGGAGGACGAGGAGGAGGGGGGGGAGGAGGAGGAGGAGGAGGAGGAGGAGGAGGAGGAAGAGGAACAAGGGAGGATTCAGAAGGGAAGTGGGGGAGAACGCGGAAGAGGGAGTATGAGGAGGACGATTGTGATGAGGATAGTGAGGAAGAGTAAGTCGGAGGGTACCGAGGAGTACCAATTTTGTAGGAGGGGGGATGATGAGGATGAGGATGAGGACGTGGACGAGGGTACGGATGATCAGGATTTTTAGAGCGATGATGAGGAGAGGGATGAGGATGATGATGTTGATGAGGAGAATGAAGGTGCCGACGAGGGTTGTGATGATGCTGATGCAGATTCTGGTGTTGTTGAGCAGGATGATGAGGATGAGAGCAAAGATGCTGATGCTGACGATGATGATGATGATGATGCTGATCATGATGATGATGGTGATGCTGATGCTGATGATGACGCTGGTTGGTTTGGTGATGATGATGCCGATGCGGCTGCAGATGATGTTGTTCACGACGATGGCGTTTATCATGGTGATGCTGATACTACTGGTGCCTATGGTGATGATGATGACGGTGTTGCTGATACTGGTACTGATGGTGCTGCTGCTGATGCTGATGCTGCTGATGCTGCCGATGGTGATGATGTCGATGATGGTGATGAGGCTGATGCGGCTGCTGAGTGCGATGATGGTGATGATTCTGAGTATGGTGATGATGAAGCTGCTGATGATGCTGATGCTGCTGCTGCTGCTGATGTGATGATGTTGATGCTGCTGTTGACGATGCTGCTGGTGCTGCTGATGATGATGTTGATGATTTTGAGGCGAATGGTGAGAAGGATGATGCAAGCGGTGATGCTGATGGCGGTGATGGTGATGGCGGCGATGATGCTGATGCTGAGGATGATGATGCTGATAAGGATGATACTGCTGATAATGATGATGATAATGAGGATAATGAACATGATGATGACGATGATGATGATGATGATGATGATGACGATGCTGATGAGGCTGATGATGATAATGATGTTGATGCTGCTGGTGATTATGCTGATGCTTATGGTGATGATACTGATGCTGACGAGGATGATGCGGCTCATGTTGATGCGGATGCTGCTGCTGATGCTGATGCTGATGCTGCTGATGATGCTGCTGCTGATGATGATGCGGATTATGATGATGATGCTGATGATGATGCTGATGATGCTGATTATGATCATGATCATGATGATGATGGTGTTGACGATGATGATACTGATGTTGATGATGATGCTGATGCTGCTGGTGATGCTGCTGCTGCTGATGAGTAACAGTATGAGTATGATGATGCTGATGATGGTGATGATGATGATGCTGTTGAAGCCGATGCTGATGATGATGATGATGATTATGATCATGATGAGGATGGTGGTGATGATGATGATGCTGGTGGTGATCATGATGATGATGCTGATGCTGATGATGATGATGATGATGATGATGATGATGATGATGATGATGGTGCTGCTGCTGCTGCTGATGATGATGATGATGATGATGGTGGTGGTGGTGGTGGTGGTGATGCTGCTGATGATGATGATGAGGATTATGATGTTGATGTGGATCAATTTTCGTTTTAATTGAGTGTTCATGGGCATTGTAATGCGAGGGGGAGGAGGAGGAGGAGGAGGAGGAGGAGGAGGAGGAGGAGGAGGAGGAGGGGGAGGACGAACAAATTGAGGAGGGAGGGTGGATGAGGAAGAGGAGGATGAAGGAGACAGAGGAGGAGGAGAGGGAGCTTGAGAAGGACGAGGGAGACTGAGGAGGGGGATGGGGGGGAGTCGGGGGAAGGACCATCAGGCGAAAGATGAGGATAGGGGACGATCGTATGTCGGAACACGCTCGTGGAGCAAGGGGAAGTAGGAATAGGAGGGAGGAGGAGGAGGAGGAGGAGGAGGAGGAGGAGGAGGAGGAGGAGGAGGAGGAGGAGGAGGAGGAGGGGAGGAGGCTAGGTGCGCTCGCGTCATATCTGACGTCCTACCCCTCCCTCCCATCCCTTACCATGGCGCTGATTTTCTCTATCCGCGGACGCGTGTCGTAGCGGACCTGTGGCTCCGCGCGCGCGTGCGTAGTGGGTGGTGGTGCACGTGCGTGCGTGCGTGCGTGTGTGCGTGGTTGTCGTGGTGGTGGTGGTGGTGGTGGTGGTGGTGGTGGTGGTGGTGGTGGTGATGGTGGTGGTGGTGGTGCTGGTGGTGGTGGTGGTCTGGTGGTGGTGGTGTTGGTACTGGTGCTGGTGCTGGTGGTGGTTGTGGTGGTGGTGGTGGTGGTGGTGGTGGTGGTGGTGGTGGTTGGTGGTGCTGGTGCTGGTGGTGTTGGTACTGGTGCTGGTGCTGGTGGTGGTTGTGGTGGTGGTGGTGGTGGTGGTGGTGGTGGTGGTGGTGGTGGTGGTGGTGGTGGTGGTGGTGGTGGTGGTGGTGGTGGTGGTGGTGGCGGTGCGGCGCGGTGGTGGCGGGCGGATGGGCGCGCGAGAAAAAGGCCCGCGCTGGGGCGAGAACGCCATCCTGAACGACGGAGGCCAAGCACCGATCCGAAAATGAGGCCCACGCTGCAGCGGGAGCACGATTCGGAACGATTCGGGAGCAGAAATGAGGCCGGCGCCTCAACGAGAGCAGCATTTTGGGAAACAATGACGCCGGCGCCTCAGCGAGAGTCGTTTCCCGGGATTTCCCGGGCATCCTGTGTGTAAAAAAAAGTACGCGGAGGGTGCGCGGCCATCACCCGGACGCCATCAGGGGAAGGATTCGGGAGCAGAAATGAGGCCGGCGCCTCAACGAGAGCAGCATTTTGGGAAAAAATGACGCCGGCGCGAGAGCAGCATTTTGAAAAAAATGACGCCGGCGCCTCAGCGAGAGTCGTTTCCCGGGATTTCCTGGGCATCCTGTGTGTAAAAAAACAGTACGCGGAGGGTGCGCGGCCATCACCCGGACGCCATCAGGGGAAGAGGGAGAGTATATTCATATTGAGTAATTGTGGAGGAGGAGGAGGAGGAGGAGGAGGAGGAAGAGGAGGTCGAGGGGGAGGAGCGGGATGAGGAGGAGGACGAGGAGGAAGCGGAGGGGGAGGAGGAGGAGGAAAGAAATGGAGGAGGAGAAGGAGGAGGAAGAGGAGGAGAAAAAGGGGTAGAGGAGGAGGAGGAGGAGGAGGAGGAGGAGGAGGAGGAGGATGGGGGTGACGACGACGACGACGGCGTGGGGGAGGGGGATCTAGACAAGGGAGATTAGAAACAAAGGATTATGAAGTGGGTGAGGGGGAGGAACACGAGGAGGAGGAGGAGGAGGAGGAGGAAGAGGAGGAGGAGGAGGAGGAGGAGAAGGGTGATTGAGGAAGATGGCGAGGATAATCATATGGGAGAACATTTGGGTGACCATGAGGGAGAGGGAGCGAGAGCGAGGGAGGAGGCGAACGACGGAGGACGAGGAAGAGAAGGACCATGGACAAAGATTGAAGAGGATGGATGTTTGATGGATGTGTGGGGCGCGCCGGGGAAGCAACCCCTTCCGAATCCGAGCAAGGTTTTCAGTACCTACCCTGTCTCGTCTTCCCAGGGCACGTCGCAGCCAGGTGGCGTTGGCCGCCCGTGTTGTACCTCCCGCGCGCGGGGCAGACGTTGATGAGTCGGCCCGATTGGCCACGACGTGCGTCCGTAGCCATTTTGGCTCAAGCCATTTTGGCTCAGGCCCCGTAGCCCAAGCGCACTCCTCGCGCCCCCTCACGCCCTGCAGCAGCAACCGCCGCGCGCGGAGATGGCGCCGCGCGCCCGCCAGGCCCGCGGCAGCGTGCTCACCTACGTGGCCCTGGCCGCGCTCGCCGCCCAGCTCGTTGTGGAGCTGCACGTCTCCGACTTTTCCGACGGCGAGACGATCGCGGCGTTCGCGGCCCCCGTGTCGTCCTCGGTCCGCTCGGACGTCGAGGCCGCTGCGGCCAGCCGGCTCACCCGCCGTGCGCCGGCGGCCTTCCCGAGTGCCGGCGGGCGCGCGCCGGGCGGCACCGCCCGTGCGGCTGCCGCGCCGGCCGCCAGCGTCGTCTCGAAGGTCATCAACGCGATGGGTGCAGGCGCGGTGGCCTCGGTCATCCAAGCGGCCCTCTCGGCGGTGGGCGAGCCCATCGTGAATCGCGTGCTGGTGAAGCGCATGAAGATCATGGACGCCATCAACGACGTGAGCGCAAAGCAGATGCTCAACTTCTTCAAGACGACCCTCGCGACCAACTTCTTGAAGTTCCCGTTCTTCGAGGCCATCAACGCATTCTGCGGCGCATTCCCGATCAGCCCCACCTACCGTGGGATCTTCACGGGCTTTGTTTTCACTACGGCCACCCTGCCAGTGACGAACTACAGGTACCGCAAGTCAATGGATCTCGAGGTTAATTGGGCCAACATTTACGAGGCCTACCCGCCTACTGTCATCCGTGATATCGTGTACGGCATCGCGCGCAACTACTGCACCATTGGCGTTCTCGCCCTCAACTCCAGCTGGACGATCACGTCGCCCGAGGTGCTGTTCATCGTTGTGATCCTCGGCTGCTTGATCTCAGCACCTTTCAACGAGTGGCGCGGGTACCTCCTGCAGTCAAAGGGCCAAGAGCTCACATTCAAAGAGTTCTTCAAGCCGTCCAACTTCGTACGGTCGACCTCGCTTGGGGCGATCAAGCAGGGATTGGCGCTTGCTTTGGGTTACTGGTGCGCGCCTCCGGCGACCAAGTTCGTCCAGGGCCTCATCATGGCCGCCAAGGGCGCTTGAGGCAGCAGCGCGGAGGCGGTTCAATGTGGTCATTGAGCGAATGCAGTTAGAGACTGCATGGGCTTACGATTTTCCAGCCATTTTCCGCAGTGCTGTAGATGGCACTGATATTGCGAAGGCCTCACGGCCAGTGCCGCCGACCCTGCATGGCGACGACGACGACGACGACGATGACGACGACGACGACGACGACGACGGCGGCGGCGGCGGCGACGACGACGACGATGACGACGACGACGACCACGACGACGACGACGACGACGACGACGACGACGACGACGACGACGACGACGACGACGACGACGACGACGACGACCACGACCACGACGACGACGACGACGACGACGAGCGCTCTCGGGGGCCTCTTGGGGGCAGTTTGGGGGGCTCTTGGGAGGCTCTTGGGGGCGGCTTGGGAGCCTCGTGGGGGCCTCTCGGGGCTTCCTGGAGTCTCTTGGGGGCCTCTTGGGGCCTCTGGGAGGGCTTCTTAGGGGCCTCTGGGGAGCTTCTCAGGCCGAGGACTCGAAATGACCGTCGGGGCCCCCGTCTGGGCTCCCTTTTGGAGCCCTCTTGGGGGCCTCTTCAGCTGTCTTGGAGGCCTCTTTTGTGGTCTTCGGGCCCTCCTGGGTCGTTTTGGGGCCCTCTTGGAGGCCTCTTGGGCCATCTTGGGGCGGTCTTGGGAGCCTCTTGGCTTGTCTTGGAGCGTCGGGAAGCTGACAAGGCGAGAATGCTGAAATCTTTCAAAAACCGAAGGTCAATTTATGATGGGGCCCTCATGGAAGTCCTCTTGAAGGCCTCTTGGGGCTCGTTTTGGAAACTTGTCGAGTCGTCTGGAGGCTACTTTGGCGACTTGGATCGATACTTCGGCGATTTGGGGCCCTCGAGGATTGTCTTGGGGGCATCTTGGGGCACTTTTGCCGCGTCTTGAGGCTTTTCTGGGCCCCCGAACCGCCTGGGGGGGAGTCGTATCTGCATGGGTGGCGACCCCCCCTCCCCCCCAGGACCCTCCCCCCAAGGACCCTTCCCCTGGGACCCCCCCCCCCCCCGGGACACCCCCGGGACACTCCCCCCGGTTGGGAAGGGATCAAAGGGAAGGGGCTTCCTTGCGACTCAACTACAACGTTGCTCAATTTCGCTGGGGCTGCGCTCGAGGAGGAGGGCCCGGTGAAAGTGGGGGGAGCGGCGACGGGCCCATGGAAAGGGGAGGAGAGCGGCAAAGGCGACGACGACGACGACGACGACAACGACCACGACGACGAGTCAAACAGAACAGCCTCTTCCACACGCCGACAGGGTCGGCGGATTTGTGAGTATATTTGCGCGCCAGTTGTTTGCATGACAATTCTCGCGGAGTGGAACACTTGACGGATGTGGAAGAATCGTGTGACGGCGGTCTCCAGACAAGAGGATATTCACAATAGTTACCACCTGCGCTCGTTCGCCTCGGACGACCCCAGGCGCGTGCGATTTGAAGTGGGCTCGCGTGAGCGCAGGCCCCTCGCTCCAATGGACATGTGGGCCAGACGTGCGCGAGGAGTTGGCGGCAAAAAAATCAAGAGGCCAGGAAGTAGGAAACTGGCGGCGCCTTGCCACACGGGGCGGCACCACTAGGCGCAGGAGCCGGGCCACCTCCACTGGGCGTCGCCGCCAAGCATGTTTCAGCAACAGCAGGTCCAGTGCAAGGCGTGCTGCAGAGGAGGAGGAGGAGGAGGAGGAGGAGGAGGAGGAGGAGGAGGAGGCGAGGCTGAGAGCAAGAAGTGAGGGAGGGGGAGACGAGAGAGAGAGAGAGAGAGAGACAGGAGAGCAGCAGAAAGCGAAGAGAGGAGGAGGAGGAGGAGGAAGAGGAGGAGGAGGAGGAGGAGGAGGAGGAGGAGGAGGAGGAGGAGGAGGAGGAGGAGGAGGAGGGGGAGGAGGGGATGGAGGAGGAGGAGAAGGAGGAAGAAGGGAGGATTCCGCCCTCTGGCAAGGGCAATGCCGCTGCGGGCCCTGAATTGGCTGCCCCAATCGATGGTGATGCCCAGGGCGAAGGCGATGACGCTGAAGGGTCGGAGGCGCAATTCCCGCGTCTTGCTCCGGCAATGTGCCTGTTGTTAGCTGGGAGGGGGGCGGATCAGCTCGATGAGGAGGAGGATGGAGGAAGCGTGCGAGCTGGAGAAGGCAATGACGGTGCTGAATATTGACGGCGAGGGTTATGACGTTCAAAATGCATACGTGATGAGGTACTGGCAGGGATAACTGCCAGTGGAAGGCGGCGAGCCCTTCTTGCTCGAAGGCACCAATGACGGCGGTTATGGAGACATTACAGAGTGTACCCAAATTGTTTTTGAGGAATCATGGTCGACAAACGGGGAAGCCCCAGTGTAAGCGTCGATCACATCTTTGAAGGGGTGGGCGCTGCTTAGGGATCCATTGCCACGACGCTGCCGTAATGATAACAAGGGGTGTCCCTGGCGGAAATGCTGTGGTCGTGGTGCCAGGGACCTGTAGGCGCAGCGCTCCGCTGGGCAGGTAGTTTTGCTTTGAGTCAGCGCAATGTTCACGCGTGGAGTAGATGAGAGCTTTCTGATCTCAGAGCTCTCTTGAACGAAGCAGCAACACGGATGGCCATCTCGGGTCACGTCCTGCGCACCGACCAGAAGATGCTCGATTTCTTCGTACAGTATTGAAGGCGCTTGCGGCGATCAACCAGCGTCCACTGCCTTTTGCAAACGCCTATGTGGTAAAACATTGGGCTAACGGTTGGCCAAACTATGGACCTTGTGTTTCCCCAGCCGTTGTGAACATTTGTTTGGCAATTTTCCGGGGATGACCAGGGAGAGGAGGATGGGAGGGAAGACAAAGTGGAGGAGGAGAAGGAGAAGGTTGAGGATGACGATTATAAGGATGATAAGGATGATGCTCATGATGAGGCTGTTGATGCTGATGATGATGATGATGATGATGATGATGATGATGATGAGGATGAGGATGAGGATGAGGATGAGGATGAGGATGAGGATGAGGATGAGGATGATGATGATGATGATGGTGGTGAAGCTGATAGTGATACTGGTGCTTAATGATGATGGTGATGACAATGGTGATGCTGCTGCTGATGATGCTGATTATGATGATGATGATGATGATGATGCTGCTGATACTGATGTTGATGCTGATGATGACGACGCTGTTTTTGATGCTTATAATGAAGCGGATCGTGATGACGATGATGATGACGATGATGATGATTATGCTGCTGCTGATGATGATGATGCTGATGCTGATGCTGCTGATGATGATGATGATGATGATGGTCAGCACGAGGGTCGCGACGTGCAGTTCGACAACATATAGCGTCCTGTCTCATTACCCCTTGCAAGATGCTTCAGGCAACGCGCCTGCGGGCTTTCCTAAAGTCAGTTGTTAATTGTTCAAATATGCCAGGCGCACAGGGAGTTTCTAGAGCTGTTCGGGGAGCGTGATTCAAAATATTTGAAAGTTGCAAGAAAGGCATCGTGTAGTGGACATCTCGTGTGGGGTTTGGCTGTTATGAGCAGTGGCCGTTAGACGAGATGAAGAATGCAAGAACAGTACGATGAACATTGTTTCTCTTGCTGGCAAGTATCATTAACAGCAGGCTGGCGAAGCAAGGATCTCAAGCTGCAGGAGGCTACGCACACCAACTATACAGAACGTATGGTGTACGCGTGGAGCAAGTTTGTCGGAGACTTTGGATGCCGTTTGCTGCTTCCGAGAAGGGCAGGTACCTCACTACCGTCCTGGCGCTAAGAGTGGGCGATCCGGACCTTACCATCAAGCTGCCGATATATTGTTTTGATTTGTGGCTACGCGTTTACATCCCCGTGAAAAAAGTTTTTAACAACAGTGGCACAGGGAGGGAAGCCGAAAAGGTATTGAATTCGACCAGGCTGGGCCCGTCGTATCAAGTGACATCCGCCTGTCAATATTACGGAAAAGCATATCGTCAGCATTGCGCGTTGCACGTTAGTCATCCGATTGGTGGGAGCGAAACCGCACGGCAGAACTTGGAACTGCCCATGCCAGCGGCCCCGCGAACGATGAACTTGGAAGGGCACCTGGGTATTAAGTGGCGTCCCCCCCAGTTTTGTCACTGGGCGCGCAAAACAAAGTGTGGCATGTCAGTGATCTGGTCCATGGTGCACGCCTGCGCGCGCGGCCAACATTGAAAGGCGAATCTCACTTAGTGTCCTCTTTGGGCGCTGCCGTCTGCAGGTCATTCACGATGAATGTCTTGTTGATTTGGTTATATTGTTTCCCGGATGTGTGGATGTCGAACTTGCCTGGGCGTGCTCCAGTCGTCTTGGCGGCACTTGCCTTACAGCGTCGGCTACCTCTGCCGCTCGGGCAGATGGAATGGGACGCGCGCGGTCCCTGATACATAAAATGGTACCTGGGCGGCTGCCGTGGTCTGTCGTGGCTCCACCCCCCAGGCCTCACAGGTCGCACAAGTCTCACAGGCCCCACAAGTCTCGCAGGTCCCACAGGTCTCGCAGGTCCCACGCCCACAGGCCCCACGGGTGCCACAGGTCGCACAGGCCCCGCGGGTCCCGCAACTCCTACACATCCCGCAGGGCCCGCAGGTCTCTCGCAGGTCCTAACAAGGCCGACGTTTTGCACAGGTCCCGCAGGTCTTTCAGGCCCTACGGTTCCCACAAGTTTTGCAGGTGGCACAGTTCCTGCAAAACCCACCGATCCCGCAACTCGCCCAGGTCCCGCATGTCTCGCAGGTCCCACAAGTCGCACAAATCCCACAGGGGCACAAATCTCGCACGTCCCACAGGACCCACAGCGCGGCACGCTAAAAGACGAAAGGGGATCGCGCGGAAACCCAATAATTAGGCATAATTGCCCATCTCGGTGGCCAGCAATGCCACAAAAGTGGCACAGGGATCGATGCCGAGAAGATGTTGAATCCGGCCAGGCGGGGCCCGTCGCATCAAGTGACATCCGCCTGCCAATGTTGCGGAAAAAACATATCGTCAGCATTGCGCGTTGCACGTTAGCCATCCGATTGGTGGGAGCGAAACCGCAGGGCAGATCGTGGAACCGCCCTCGCCAGCGGCTCTGCGAAGCATGAGTTTGGAAGAGCACCCGGGCAGTAAGTGGCACCCGCCTCCGAATGTTGCCACGGGGCGCGCAAGCCAAAGTGTGGCATATTAATGACCTGGTCCATGGTGCACGCTTGCGCGCGCGGCCAACATTGAAAGGCGAACATCACTTGGGCGTTGCTGTCTTTGGGCGTTGCCGTCTGCAGATCATTCACGATGATCGTCTTGTTGATTTAGTTATATAACCTTCCCCGGCTGTGTAGAGAGATTAACCAGAGTTGCGCAGAGGCGTCCTGCAGGAATGGAAGGGATCAGTACGGAGTACAGAATCTGTACCAGCCAGCCGAAGGTCCCGCCACCTGAGGGGCTCCATCTCTGCAGTCATCCTGCACTTCACACAGACGGTATGGGAGGCAGGGGAGGCCGCTGGGTGGACAGTGCCGACCACGCGCCCAGCTGCAGGAGACGAGTGGAGGTTCGACGATCACATGTACACAGGACCCGAGGCGCTGGACACGCATGATGAGCTTATAGATAATCAAGCCCTGCAATGCCTTAAGCCGCCCCTTCGGCCGCCCCTCGTATCCGCCCCCAGTATCCCTGGTAAAAACTACGGCTTTCTGCTCATGCGTTCCGAATCCCTTGCAACACACATGGTTTCGCGAGCGTGCGGCCCGAATCCCTTGCCAAACATTCTCCGCGGCGCACAGGGGCGCCTCCAACTCGTGCGATCCCAGTCGAAAAAATACGATCCCGTGCGCGCCTGCGCGCGTTTGCGCCCGTGGCGCTCCCAGGCGGCTCCCAGGCGCTGCCCAGGCGCTTCCAAGGCGTCCCCCAGGCGCTTCCAGGCGCGGCCCAAGAGCCGCCACAACGGCTCAAAGTTTCCCCGAACGCTCCGGGCGCTCCAAGGGGCTGCCCTCCGCGCCGGTGAACTCTTTGAGGCGCGTTCCTTATGTTTTCCTAAGCGACCCCCAGGCGCCCCCCAGGCGCTTCCAGGCGCGGCCCAGCTGCTGCCACAGCGGCTCAAGGCCTCCCCAGGCGCTCCCCGGGCGCTCCAAAAGCGCGCCCGCCGCATCGGTGGGCCCGTGGAGGCTTCTGGAGAGGGGCCTGGGGGCTCATGGCGCCACCGCTCGACGCACGGCGCGCGGGTGCCCGTGCGCGCGCCCTCGGCAGAGGTGTTTGCGATGCATCTGCTAAATGTTCGTTCAGACGGTCGTTCGCGAAGAGTACACATTGTTCATGTTTAATTTTTCGAGGGTTATTTTTTTTTGGGGGGGAAGGGGGGCACGATCCTTTCATTTCTGATTGCTGTATCCTGCGCCGCTTCCTGGCCACTTGGGGGCCAGGAGCAATTAGAAGCGACCGCAATTATAAATGAGCACGACTAGAAATGCGCGGCCTCGACCCTTGCGGGAGGAGGAGGAGGAGAAGGAGAAGGAGGAGGATGATCAGGAGGAAGCATAAGAAGAAGAAGAATAACAGTAATAAGAAAACAAAAGAAAACTAACACTAATAAGAGTAATAAGACGGATAATACTAGTAATAATAATAATAACAATAAGAAGAAGAAGAATAAGACTAATAAGAAGAATAATAATAATAATACTAATAAGAAGAAGAAGAGTAATACGAATAATAATAATAATAATAAGAATCATAAGAATACTAATAATAAGAAGAATCAGAATAATAAGAAGAATAATACTAAGAATAATACGAATAATAATAATAAGAAGAAGAATAAGAATAAGAATAATAAGAAGAATAATAAGAAGAAGAAGAAGAAGAGGAGGAGGAGGAGGAGGAGGAGGAGGAGGGGAGGAACATGGAGGAAGAGGAGGAGGAGGAGGAGGAGGAGGACGAGGAGGAGGAGGAGGAGGAGGAGGAGGAGGAGCAGGAGAGGATGCCCTGACGGGGGGCCCGAACGAACATTTCGAGCCCTCAGCCCCGAGAGGCTGGCTCCCAGGAGGCCCCAAGAGACTCCAGGAAGCTCCCAAGAGGTCCCAAGAGGCTCCCAAGACGGCTCCAAGAGGTCCTGAGAGGCCCCTGATGGCTCGCGTGCCTAAACGATAACCCGAACGAGCATTTCGAGCCTTCGGCCCAGGGCGGTTGTCCCCCTAAAAAGTTGTCCCCCTAAAAACGGCGACATTTTTTAGTGTGCCGATCCCCCTAACATCCTATCTGATTTTAAGGGGACCGGTCCCCCTAAAATCCCCTACCGCCTTAGGGGGGCCGTCGCCCTAAAATCCCATCCGGTTTTAGCGGGAGCAGTCCCCATAACATCTTTTACTGTTTTAGGGGATGGGTGCCATTTTTGAAGGGGTTGGTCCCCCTAAAATCCCATCCGGTGTTTAGGGGGACCGGTCTCCCCCAAATCCATTTCCGTTTTAGGGGAACCGCCCTCCCTTGAAAATTCATCCCGCAAGAGGCTTGCATGACGCCCCAAAAGACAAAAACGATTGCTCCAAGACGATCCAAGAGGCTTCCAAGATGGTCCCATAACGACCATTGAGGCTCTGAGACGGCCCAAGACGCCTCCAAGATGGCCTGAGAGGCTCCCGAGACGGCTTCAAGAGTGTGCCCAAACGGGGGGCCCGAAAGGATTTTTCGAGCCCTTAGCCCCGAGAAGCCACCAGGAGGCCCCAGGAGGCTCCAGGAAGCTCCCACGAGGCCCAAGAGTTCCCCAAGAAACCCCAGGAAGCTCCAAGAGGCTCCCAAGATCCTCCTCATCGTCCTCCTCCCTGCCCCTCCTCCTCATTCGTCCTTTTCCTCCTCCTCATCATCCTCCTCGTCCTCCTGTTCCTCCTCCTCCTCCTTCTCCCTTTCCTTCTCCTCATCACCATCCTCACCTTCCCATCGAACTCCTCCTTCTCCTCAGCGACCATAGTGGTGTGTGTGACCGCCTACGGGACACCATAGTGGTGTGTGTGATCACCTACGGGACATCCCAACACTTTGAACATTTCGAGAATTTCAGAATTTTCGACATTCCCAGGGGCCGGGGAATCCGAGAAGCCAGGCAACAAGGATCCCCCAAAACTCCAAACCACCAGAGTTTTGAACATTTCGATAATTTCGAAAATTTCGAAAATACCAACACTTGTTGACAATTTCGAAAAGTTCGAAAATCCCACACACGTTGAAAATTTCGAGAATTTCCTAAATTTCGAAATTTTCCAAATTCCCAGGGGTCGGGGAATCCGAGAAGCCAGGCGACCAGGACCCCTGAAAACTCCAAACCGCCAGAATTTTGAAACATTCATTTTTTATATATAAATTTCGAAAATTCCAAACACTTTGAGCATTTCAAAATTCCCCAAATTCCGAACTCTTTGAACAGTGCGAGTGTTTCGAAATTTTCCAAATTCGCAGGGGCCGGGGAATCCGCGAAGCCAGGCGACGAGGTTTCCCGAAAACTCCAAACCACTAGACTTTTGAACACTTCGTTTTTTTTTGAAAAGTTCGAAAATTCCAAACTTTTTGAATCAATCGACGATCTCGACATTTTCAAACTTCCCAGGGGTCGGGGAATCCGAGACGCCAGGCGACGAGGATCCCCCCAAACTCCAAACCACCAGATTTTTCCCCAAGATTTTGAAAATTCCAAACGCTTTTAAAATATTGAAAATGTTGGCCATTTCGAAGTTTTCAAAATGTCGGGGAATCCGAGAAGCCAGGCGACCAGAATCCCCGACAACTCCAAATCGCTAGAATTTTGGAAACTTCGATTTTTTTTTGTGAAAGTTTTGACAAGTCCAGCCACTTTCAAAATTTCGTAAATGTCGTAAAAGTCGAATTTTTCAAAATTCGCAGGGGTTGGGAAATCAGAGAAGCCAGGCGACCAGGATTCCCGATAACTCTAAACCACCAGAATTCTGGATTTTTCTGAAAGAAATTTCGAACATTCCAGACACTTTGAACATTTATTAGAAAATTTTGAAAAATTTGAGATTCTCGAAATTCCCAGGGGTCGGGGCATCCGAGAAGCCAGGTGACCAGGATTCCCGAAAACCGCACAAGGAATCACGACAGCCCCGAGATCTCCTCGAGAAGCGTCCGCGATTCCACTGACTCCCCAGTTCCAGGGAGGAGGAAGGTGATGGCATGAGGAGGGGCGCGATGGGTGAGGAAGAGAAGGAGGAGGAGGAGGAGGAGGAGGAGGAGGAGGAGGAGGAGACGGAGGGAGGAGTGTCGTTAGATGGTATCTCCTCAGCTCGCCGCGGGGCCTCCATGAGGAGATACCATCTTGGAGCTCCTGGAGCCCCTGCGATTGCGGATGAGGAGATGGACGACGATGACGACAACGACGACGAGGATGAGGAGGAGGAGGAGGAGGAGGAGGCAGAAGGAGAGAGGAGGGAGGAGGGGTATGAGGTTGGATACAGGTATCCCCTCCTGGTCGCCCGTGCCCCTCCCTCCCTTCCTCCCTCCCTCCGTCCTGCTCCTCCTCCTCTCGACTAGACGTAAGAGTGACCTTTCGCCGGAGTGACCTGTGGTGCGGGCCAAATGGGGTCCCCCTTCGCCGAACGCGATGCGGTGGTAGCGTCTTGCGCGCTTGTGCTTGGTCCCCCCGCGTTCCCCCCAAAAGCCGCGCACTAAAGGTCACTCTTACCCAGGGTCAATATTGCGTGTAGCCGATCCTCCTCCTCCTCCTCCTCCTCCTCCTCCTCCGCCTTCTCCTCCTCCTCCTCCTCCTCCTCCTCCTCCTCCTCCTCCTCTCCGCTTTCTCCTCCTTCTCCTCCTCCTCCTTTACCTCCTCCTCCTCCCTCCCTCTCCTCGCGCGCTCAGTAGCCATTTTGGCTAAGCTGCCGTCCCGGGTCAGGGGCCTTTTCCAGCACACAGGGTGCTGAGACTGGCCGCCTCCGCTGGGACAGCAGCCATGTGTGCCGCCCCCGCCGGGCGCCTCCTGGCAGGCGCAGGCGACCGCGCGCAACGAGGTTCCTCCGGCCGGCGTTGCTGCAGCCAGCCGAGGCCGGAACTCCATGCCCCTGCACAGGGACTCGGCTACGCGGCCCGCGTCGGCCGCCGCCCGCACATGCAGGACGTCGCCGCGCTGATCGCCGCGCTGGTTCGCCGTCCCGTTCCGCTTCCACCTGCTGTGCGGCAGCATGACGTGCCGTCACCGGACGCCCATCCACGTGTGCTAGCCCATGATGCCGGCCCTGTACGTGCAGATGGTGATGTTTCTCACGCTCATCCGCCGCCTGCCCATCCACCGCCCCTCTTTCCAATGCGGGGTGTGCCGTCGCCGTCGCCGCCGGCTGCGCGGGCGACGATTGGCGCCGCTGCTGATCTGCCGACGTCGCCGCCGGCTACGTCCCCTCGCTCTTCGGCACGTGGCTCTGCCGTTGCTGCCCAGTCCGACGCCCCGCCGTCCGAGGACTCCTCGCGCAGCACTGCCGGCTCCGACGACTTCGTGTACCTGGGCAGTGTATTTGCTGCTGCTGCTGCTGCTGGCGAGGTGCCGCGTGGTGCCGCCGACGCTGCTTGGCGAGGGCTCTGGCGACCGGGGGGCTCTGGCGATCAGAGGGCTGCTCCGCCTGAAGCTGCTCAGCGTGCGGCTCCTGCTGCTGCGGTGGGGCGTCCGGAGGCGCCCTTGCCCGCGGCCAGCGCGACCGCGCGGGCCTGCGCGCCGCAGCTGCCGCGCGGGCCGCCGCGCGCTCAGGCCGAGGGCGATGAGCAGCCCAGGCCGACGGAGATGAAGAGGGTGCAGCGGACGGCGCCAGCCGACATGAGCCCCAGGATGCCGGAGGACCGCTCGTGATAGCGGGCAGTCCGGCGGCGGCAGGGATGCGTCTCCCAGTGCTGGAGCGGGGCCCCGCCCTTCAAAGCTCCTGGCGGCGCATGGCACAGGAACGCGCTGCCGCTGCCAGCTCCGCGTCGGCGCCAGTTTGAGGCTCGTTTCTCACATTCATTAGCTTGCGTCGCATCCCCTTCCTCCTTCGGTGAGCGCGAAGGTAATCGCCTTTGTTTGCCTCCGCCGCTGTCGTTCGTCCGTGTCGCGAGGGTGCGAAGTTGTCCTTCCCCCGCTCAGGTAATCACGAGATGTCACGACATCACGAGAGCAGGAGAGTTTCGGTCAGTGTCCCAGCCTTCTCCCTAGCTCTCTTCCGCGTCACGAGAGCAGGAGGAATTCGGTATGTGTCCCAGCCCTCCTTTCTCCCTTTCGTGATTCACTGATCCACCCTCCTTTCCTCCCTCCTTCCACTCCCCCTCCCGAGTGGCCGCGAGCCCACGCCGTGGCACTTGTTTCGTTGCGCGCTCCGCTGCTGGCCGCTCGTCTTGAGAGAGGGATGTCAGTGGTGAGGAGGATGGGGAAGGATGGCTGGGTGAAAAGTTGATTGTGATCTTTCCCTAAGCCCTGCCCCTCGTGCCGACGTGCGCCGTCTGCCCCGTCGCAGGGTCACGAGCAGGAGGTTTTCGGTTGCGTCCCAGCCTTCTTCTCTCCTCCTCTTCTAGATGCTGCTTTCCTCCCTCCCTCTTCCCCTCCTCCCGAGTGCCCTGGACGGGCACAGCAAGCCCCTTGTTGCTGCCTCACCGTTTGCCGTCCAGTTGCCCATTATGGAGGGTGGGGGTGTTTGTGAGGATTATGGGGGGCTGTGCGGAGCTACCGTGCTGTATTTGCCTAGTTGGTGCCCGTGCGGCTCTTTTTAGTATGACTAGATATTCTGCTAGTTGCAGCGCCGCCTTTCTCTGACCGTCGCCAGGCGAATCAGATGCGCAATCCAAACTCTCCTCGCGCGCCCGCCCTCCCCCTCCTGGGCGGGGAGGCCTCGGCGGACTCCTCGTGCGTCGGGGAGGGCCTGGACGAGGCCGGGAAGCCCGAGGCGCGGCGCCCCGCCCCCCACGTTGCGCGCGGGAGCAGCACGCGGCGCGGCCCCGGGGCGACCGGGAGCTTAGTGGGCCCCGGAAACGGCAGGGTCGTTGGTCCCCCGTTTCCGAAAAAACGCCCGTTGAAAATGGACACGGCAGAAACACGGCGACCGGAAACGGCAACGAAAAACGGCTCCAGGATTGGAGCTGGTGCCGGAGCCGGTAGCAAAAACGGCGGCGGAGCAGGTAAGACAACGGCGTCGCAAGCGGCAGAAAAATGGCAACACGGAGCCGGCAGCAAAAACGGCCCTGCCGCTCCCAGGGCCCACTAAGACCGGGAGGCGGCCTTCGGCCGGCCCTCGGCACGGGCAGGGGCCACGCTCGGGGGGGGAGCGGCGCAGCCCAGACACGATCGCGTCGCCAGCGGCAATCATCAAGCGGTGGCGAAGCGTCCTGGCGTGCCTATGGCCCTACCAAAGAATGTTCAAATAACCTCTTGTGATTTCCGCGACATGTTCTTAGATTTGTTCCGGCGGAGTCTGTCTTGTTTTATCACATCAGGTTTATGTTCTAAGAACCTTAAAAAAAACATTTGGGGGTTCTAAGAACATTTCGTGGTGGGACTATAGGAATGCGGGACGGTCGGTCCCTGCTCAATCGGGGGGGGCGGCGCAGCCCAGACGCGATCGCGTCGTCAGCGGCAAGCAGGAGGGGAGTTGTTTGGCCGATCTCGGGGCCTCTCGCATTCAGGACGGAAGGTTTTGGGCCGATTCCGGCCTCGGGGGGCCCTTGCCGACCTCGTGATTCATCGCAAAAGGAGTTCGCCAGCCCTCGTCGAACTTGGCACTGGGAACAGGTCTACCAACTAAAAGAAAATCCTGGGCCAATGCCCTTTCCGGGAAAATCAGGACGGGAGGCTTTTGGCCGATTTCGGCCTCGGGGGGCTCTCGCCGGGCCTGGGGACCGCCAGAAAACGACTCAGGATGAAAAGTCGGTCCTGGGGAAAGGGTCGGGACTTCCAGGGGCCCCGTGTGGAAACATGATCGACCCACGAACCCGGAAAGGAATACAGACATGTAAGGCGTGGCGACGTTTCAAAGACACCTGATCGGGCGACGGGCAGATCCAATGCTGAATGTATCGATCTTGATGTACCTTGCCGAGGGCTGTGCTGTGCTGCGCCGTGCTGAATTGACATGTGCCACTCCGCTATTGTGCTGTAGAGCGTTGCGGATCGAGTCCTCCTTTGCATCCGAGTCCTGACAGAACTGATCTGGATCTTAAGCTCGAGCTGCCTGAGCACATAGTCGCTGCCCCAGAGCTAATTGACAGGGGTACATGCCAGGAGGACGTGCCGCGGAACGTCCCAAGGGACGCGCCAGGCGACGTGCCAGGGGACGTGCCATGGGGACGCACCGCGGGACGTGCCAGGGGGACATGCTACGGAACGTGCCAATGGACGTGCCACGGGACGTGCCAGGGGACGCGCCGCGCAACGTGACAGGGGGACTCGCCACGGGACGCGCCACGGAACGTGCCAGGGAACGTGCCAGGTTGCAATCCTGAGTGTATCGATCTCGATATACCGTGCCGAGGGCTGTGCTGTGCCTGGGTGACCTGGACACGTCAGAACAAGTATTTCGCTCAAGACATTCTCGACGCATTCTCATGCTAGAAATCCGCCTGGACAACCTGGACACGTGCAAACAAGCGTTTCGCTTGAGGCATCCCCAACAAATCCTCATGCTAGACATGCCTGGGCAACCTGGACGCGTGAAGCCAGGTGTCTCGCTCGACCTGGGCATGTGAAACAAGCATTTCGCTCGAGAGATCCTTTGAATCGGTCCCCAGGAAAGGACAGTCTAGAACACAAAACAAGCGCTTCGCTCGAGACATCCGCAACCATATCTGCAAAACAAGCGTTTCGCTCGGGACATCTTTCAATTTTAATTCGCCGGCCCTCTTCGACCTCGTCATTTATCGCAAAAGGAACTCGCCAGCCCTCGTCGAACCGAACTTGGCACTGGGAACAGGCTTGCCAACCAAAAGAAAACCCTGGGCCTATGCCTTTTCCTGGAAAATCAGGACGGGAGGTTTTTGGCCGATTTCGGCCTCGGGGGGCCTTCGCTTGGCCTCGGGGCTGCCAGAAAACGACCCAGGATGAAAAGCCGGTCCCGGAGAAAGGGTCGGGATTTCCAGGGACCGCGTGTTGAAAAAATTAGGACGTCGCATGTCTGGGTGCGCAACTTTGTCCCTTACATCGAAGAAGGAAAAAAGCGCCCCCCCCCCCCCCCCGCCTCCCCCCCCGCTGCAGCCAACGCCTATGATAAGGACGCACGCGCGCCTTTTCTATGGCACCCTTGGGTCCCTTCCTGCCTCATTGGCCAGCCTTTCAGGGCACCCTGGGGGCGGGCGCCCCAAACACCCCAACGTCGGCCTCCAAGGGTCGTGCGTCCTTGCCGCGCGTCCTCATGATCGGTTTTGACTGTGCTTACGCAGCGCTGCCCCGTACATCGAAGAAGGACATGCACCAGAAACATAAACTTGGACGTGCATCGAAGATGGACGTCCAAATTTATGTTTCTATGCAGGACGTGCATCGAAGATGGACCAGAAGAAGGACATCGATTAAGGCCCCGTACATCGAAGAAGGACGCGCGGATTTCTTGGATCCGCGCTGGGCCCCCCCCTCCCCCCGCGGCGGCGCCTGCGCGCGCCAGGAAGGACAGAGCCCGGCGCAGATCCGAGCAAGAAGCCCGCGCGGAGCGGCAGCAGTTTGTGTTTACGCAGTTGCTGTTCTTATGCTTATGTTTACGCATATGGTTATAGTTATGCTTATGCTTCTCCAACCGCTTATGTGCATTATTATGTTTATGTGTATGCTTATGCTTATCCAAATGTTTATGTTTATGTGTGTGTGTGTGTGTGTGTGTGTGTGTGTGTTTCTGGAGTTTGTTGTTCTTTGTCTATTGCGCTGGGCCTCGTCGCTCCCTCTTGGGGGAGGGACCAGACCTCCTCTCGCTGCAAGAGCCTGCTTCTGATCGGGTTCGGGCGAGGCTGCTTTCACGAAGGAGGGGGGGGGCTCCCCTGCGAGCCCCTGAGATCAAGTCGGGCCTGTCCCTCGACAGGAGGAATATGCCCAAACAATAACAGAATTGTCTGGGGACGATGGTTCGATTTGTTTTTGCTATTTGGGAGCATTTTCTGACTGTCTTCAATTTTTCGTGCAGAATCCGCCTGTAGGAGGGCATGCCCGACCTAACCCTGAGATCATCTGCAGACCGCGCGCAAGTCGAAAGTTACTTGCACGCTTTTCCAGCGGCGCAGCACCGAACGGAAACGCGGCTCGGGCGGGGGAGGCACATTGCCATTCAAGAGAACTTGCCAGAATCTGACTACGTTGGCAAGACCACGACACAGGGTGTTTGCCTTTTTGGGGGCCGCCCTGTCCGTCCTTGCCCCCCTCCTGCATGCTGGCCAATTCGCTTTCCTGTGCCCCCAGCTCTATCGCTGGTGCAGCCTCTCTGCTTCGCCGCCGACGGAACAAGTGGCTGCCTTTTTTGCCCTCTGGAGGCCTTCAGCGGGTCCAGCGACTGTCAACAACGACTCAGGATGAGAAGCCGGGATCCACGCTGCGAACATAATCAGGACGTCGGGGGGGCCTGGGTGTCGGCCTCCACCCGGGTGCCGAGAAGAGCCCTCCGGATGGGCGCGGCCCTTGCGGATGCAGCCGCCATCTGCTCCCCACTCGGCCGGCCTCTCCTCGATGCGGGGGCTCCGGGGGGCCGTCTCGGGGTCCCGTGGCCGTCAAACGACGCCCCCACCCCCAGGATACAACGCTGGTCCCGGGGGAGGCTGAGGGGTTCGAGAGTTCCCGTGGCCTATGTCACGAACAGATCGTGACGACGGAGGTCTGGGAAGGGGTGGGCGCGCCATTCAGGGGGCAGCGGCAGAAAGGGAGGGAACGGTGGAGTCTTATCAAGGAGCAGATGGGGGTGGCCTCTGCGATGCAGTCTGAGAGCCCACATCCTCGCCACATGGGGCGAAGTCTTGCCGTGGGCACCGAAGGGCGTGCCTCCGCGGCGCAAATCTCGTGCGTCTCTACACGCAGAGGGCGCGGCTCGGCATGGCGGTGCCTCTCCGCGCAAGGAATGCGCGCCTCGGCCTGCAGATATTGCTGGTCGGGGGGGACCTCGGTCCACGAGTTTGGCATCCAGGGCGACACCACCGAATGGGACAGGGGGCCAGGGACCCGACCGCGGTGACAGTCTTAGGCTTTAAGTCTGGCCTGTCCCTTTACAGGAGAAGTATTCAAAACTAGTCCAGAAATAGTCAGGGGACGATTTTTGGGGACATTTCTGGACTATTTTTGAAAATTGCTGGACAATTTTCATTGTTTCGTCCCAAATGCGCCTGCAGGGGGACATGCCCGACCTGATCTTGGGCCAGTCCTAGGACGCAGGTCCTGCCAGCGCTTGGAGGGGCTGCTCTGGGAAGCCGAGCCGCGAACGCGCTGTCCCCTGCAATGCTGGGGGAGGCCTTGCGTATTGCTCCTCCTCCTCCTCCTCCTCCTCCCTCCCTCCTCCTCCTCTCCTCCTCCTCCTCCTCCTCCTCCTCCTCCTCCTCCTCCTCCTCCTCCTCCTCCTCCTCCTCCGCCCTCCTCCTCCCTCCTCCTCCTCCGCCCTCCTCCTCCCTCCTCCTGGAGTGAGCCCCGCACGCTCCGAAAAAACGAAGGGGACAACCAGCCACGGGCGGTGCTCCTCCGCGTTCTGGCAGCGTGCTCCCGCGAGGGTCTCTGCGCCCTCCGCCACGCGCAGGCAACGGACACCGCGGGTCTGGCGTTCGAAGCTGACCATACCGTGCATGCCTGGCTCGACCTCGACATCCGCGGGGAGCCGTGGGGTCGTCTCCTCCTCCTCCTCCTCCTCCTCCTCCTACTCCTACTCCTACTCCTACTCCTCCTCCTCCTTCTCCTCCCCCTCCTCCTCCTCCTCCTCCTCCTCCTCCTCCTCCTCCTCCTCCTCCTCCTCCTCCTCCCCCTCCTCCTACTCCACGACTGGAAGGTTGGAGGTGCGTTGGGGCCCACCGCCCTGAGGGTACGAGCGAGGTGCTCGCAAAACTGCCGGGCGAGGCTTGCAGATTGCTGGACGCGACTGTTGACCGTCTCGTCGCTCGGGTGCATCGCTGCGCACTGGCGCGCAGCCTGGTCGGCAAGCTTGGTTCCCGGGCGTAGGAGCATCACGTCGTCAGACCGCACGCCGTCTCTCACGAGGGCGCGGCCTTTGCCCTTCTCGGCATGGCGCCAGGGAAAGGGACGGTCTGCTGGGGGTCCGTTGGGCCGCGCCCGACTCCCCTTGGGGTCCACAGGGGGGCGCTTGAGCGGCACCACGCTCGGCCAGGGCCATGCTGCAGGATGGTGCACACGGTGAGGGGGAGGAGGAGGAGCAGGAGGAGGAGGAGGCTTCAGACCCTGGAGGATTCCCGATCTAGCGGCGGCGAGCGACGCGTTCGGATGCATTCGTGGGCTCTCGGCGGTTTCCCAGCCTCGGGAGGCGCTCCCGCGGAAGCGCCTCGCCGAGAGCGCTTCGTGGGTGCTCGGATAGTCCCGAACGGCCGCTGGAGACTCGCGATGTAACTTACTCAGAGCGTGAATTACCTACCCCGCTTTCGCTTCCAGGCAAAACCAAGCCATACCACGCGCCTCCTCGTCAAGCGGCCTGACCAGTACAGGCTGCAATTTGGCATCGTTTGGTATCTCTTGGAAGCGAGGGTGGTCAAAAGCGAGGTAGGCTTGTTTTCCCCCTAGTAGCCCCAAAACCAGATTCGGCGGCGGGCCCAGATCGTCCCAGGTGCCCAGATCGTTCCGAACGGCCCAGATTCGGCGGCGAGCCGAGAGCGTTCTGGGGGTGCCCAGATCGTCCCGAACGGCCGCTGGAGACCCACGATAGGACCCGACAACGAGATTCGGCGGCGGGCGAGGGGGGGACGTGAGAAGGAGCAAGCCTTCGCAGATGGCGGCGGGGCTCCTCGGAGGTCCTCGCGCCTTCCGAGAAGGTGCCTGCGTCGTGGGGGAATTAAGGGTTAGAGCACTCCTTCCCCGGCCCCAGGGCCCCCATCGCGTCGCCCGGGTCTGATATCTACACGTCGGTCGGAAGACCGACTTCTCAGAAGCCCTCGCGCCTTCTGAGAGGTTTTCTGCATCCTCTGGGGAGGCTTAGAGAACACTCCTCCGACAGCCGGGGGGCTGTCGAGCCCTCTGAGAGGGCCTTCTCCTCCTCGCTTCCCCCCCTCGCTCGCCGCCAAATTGAGGAGCCCCTGGATCATCCCTGAGAAAAACGAGTGTCCGCACGAAACCGAAACACGCACAGGTGACCTTTTTTCTATTCATTGTTTTGCCGATCGGCGCGGGCCCTCGCACCCCCCCCCTCCCTCCCCCCATGGAGCAGATCTTGGCTGCTTTTGGCGCCTGTTGCGAGCGGGTGGAGTCTCCCCCAGAGGCCGCACTCTTGCAGTCAGTCTCGCTGAGCAGAGGTCCGAAGCCAGACCACCCCCCCTCCTCCCCCCTTGTCGCCCAATGTTTGGGGGTGGATCGACCTCCTACCCTGACACGTCGATTAGTGAATTTGCCGTTTTCGGTTCGCGAGAGGCCGTCGCGGCTGTCATTTTTGCGGGTCCAGGTCCGTCGGTTCCGGTCCCAGGCCGTTTTCACTAACGGGAGGTGTACTAAAGGGAGGTTTGTCCACCGCCGAGAAACGTCGAATAGAAAAACACGCTCACCAGGAGAGGGACGTCCGAGCGAGGGCAAGCTCCTGCCAGCGCCTGGCTTCTCGCTCTCCCGGAGCACGCGTCCCGAGGGCCAGCTGCGTCTCTCCGTGGCGGCCTCTGGAGCTTCCCACGGCGGGTTCCAGACATCGCAGGCGATGCTTCTCCCCCAACCCTTAAGTCGGGCACGTCCCTCTGCAGTAAGAGAATATTCAAAATACTCAAATACATCAGGGGACGATGTTTCGATTATTTTTTGTTTGACTATTTTTGTGGATTGGTTGGGCTATTTTTTGTTTCCGCCCGAAATCCGCCTGCAGGAGGACATGCCTGACCTAATCGAGCCCACGCCTTGCCGGCGACAAATGAAGCCGCTCAGAGAAGGAGGGAAACCCTGGGATACATCTCTACGCCTCCTGGATGGGGTCGGAGTAGATGGGGTCGAAGGATCGCGCCGCATCGCCGATGCGCTGCTCGATGTGGAGCTCGATTTGCTTCACGTCGACGTCGCCCATGCATCGCCCACGCCGACGAGGCATCGCTGGTGCATCGCCGATGCATCGTCGATACTTCGCCGATGTATCGGCGATGCGGCACTATCCTCCGAACCCGTCTAACCCGACCCCATCTAGGAGGCCTCTAACATCCTAAGGGAGTTATTCGGACGCACCGCTATCGAGGATGGAGGCCCCGCCATCGTATATCCCAGGGTTGGGCCCCAAATTGCTGGTCCATCCGAAGACCCTGCGAGGCCTGCGATAGAGGGCAACATCGTTGCCCTGGGAAAATCCGTTTCCAAGAGGCACCCCAATGGGCCAACAGCGTCGAGCAGCTTCGATGCTCCCTCGCTAGTTCCACCCACCCCCTCCCTCCCTACAGTCGGCCCGGATTAGTAGGTCGACCCTGCCAGCTCAAGGGTACCCTTGTGTTCTGTGCCTCGCGACACGTGCCTTCTTCCACTCCTATGGCGATGTGGCCCTTGGAAGGGTCTTGTGTCCTCTCGCGTGTCCTGTCCAATCGAGGCCGACTGTACGCCCCCCTATCCCTCCTCCGGTCTGCTGCCGGGCGACCCTGTGTTTTGCAGAGGTCCAGGTGCGCCCGCTGACCTACTCGTGGGAGCAGACGGAGTCGGAGCTGAAGGCGGCCCTCGCCCCCGTGGCGCTTCCCGCGCTGGCACGAGCGCCCCCACGGTTCGCAGGAAAGAGAGCACGAGGAGGCAGAGAGCTACTCATGATCTCGTATGGTGAGGAAGAGGAAGAGGAGGAGGAGGAGGAGGAGGAGGAGGAGGAGGAGGAGGAGGAGGAGGAGGAGAGGAGGAGGAGGAGGAGGAGGAGGGAGGAGGAGGAGGAGGAGGAGGAGGAGGAGGGAGAGGAGGAGGAGGAGGAGGGAGGAGGAGGAGGAGGAGAGGAGGAGGAGGAGGAGGAGGAGGAGGGGAGGAGGGAGGAGGAGGAGGGAGGAGGGAGGAGGGAGGAGGTCGGAGGGAGGAGGGAGGAGGAGGGAGGAGGGAGGAGGGAGGAGAGAGGAGGGAGGAGGGAGGAGGGCGGAGGGAGGAGGGAGGAGGGAGGAGGGAGGAGGGAGGAGGGAGGAGGGAGGAGGGAGGAGGGAGGAGGGAGGAGGGAGGAGGGAGGGGGAGGAGGGAGGAGGGAGGAGGGAGGAGGGAGGAGGGAGGAGGGAGGAGAGGAGGAGGGAGGAGGGAGGAGGGAGGAGGAGAGGAGGGAGGAGGGGGAGGGAGGAGGGAGGAGGAGGAGGAGGAGGGAGGAGGAGGAGGAGGAGGAGGAGAGGAGGAGGAGGAGGAGGAGGAGGAGGAGGAGGAGGAGATGGACGAGGAGATGGAGGAGTAGAGGGAGGGGGAGGACACCGTGGGTGGTCGCATTCTCAGGGTGTCTCCTCGCAGGCCTCACGGCGCGGAGCTCGATGGGCTTCCTCGGGACCCCTCCTCCTCGCTCTCCCTCGGGATTTTTGCCGCATCCCTCCTCCTCGAGGCCCCTTCTGCAGCTGCGCCCCCAGGATTTGGCACACGAGCCTCTTTCCCTCGGGACCCCTGGTCTTCATGGGACAGGTCTCCAGCCGCTGCTGCGCAGGTGCAGGTCTGGCTCGAACTGAGGGCGGAGGGATGAGGGGAGGGGGAGGAGGCGGGCTCGCTCCTGGATGCTCCCCGCCGCCCTCCCCTCCCCCCCCCCTTTCCTCCTCCAGTATCCCTCCCCCCTCGCTCCCTTCTCTCCTCCCTCCTCCCTTCTCCCTTCCCTCCCTTCCCTCCCTCCCTTCCCTCCCTTCCCTCCTCCCTCCCTCGTTCCCTCCCTTCCTCCTTCCCTGCCCCCCTCCCTCCCTCCCTCCCTCCCTCCCCCCCTCCCTCCTTCCCTCCTCCGGCATCCCGCGTTTGCTCGAAGCGTGGGCCCCTGGACCTCTCGACCCTTCCTCTGGTGCGGCTGCTACTGCCATGCTGTTGATCACGACCCCCCTGGACGAAGCAGCTCCAGATCGAGCAGACACCAGACGGGGCTAGGACGAAGTCGGGCGTGTCCCTCTACAGAGGGAATATTCCGAAATAAGCGAAACATAGAGTGGGGACGATGTTTTGGCCATTCGATGTTTTATTACATATGTGTTTTTGTAAATTTCTTATTTTTCGCCCAAAATCCGTCTGCAGGAGGACCTGCCCGACCTAAGGCTAGGACTTGGACGAATCCGTTCCAGAGCGTTTCGGAACGATCTCAGAGCGTTCCGGAACGCCCTGGGAAGGCCGCGGCGCCCGAGACATCCTCCAGAACGGCCAGACCTCAGAGATTCTCGATCTATCCTCACCCGTATTCATCCTCGTCCTGGCTTTATCTCCAAACAGACGTGTCGAATTCATGACCCAGACATTTGGCTGCTCCCATTGTTTCGATGCGTGGGCCCCGGAGGTCTGAACCACTTTCCTACAACCCCCCGTGGAACTTAACGTAAGTTTTGCCGACCCCCTGTCGCCCCCAATTTCAATTTTCAGTTGCGCGCGCGGCGCGTGCGCGGACGCCGTCGAAAATTTGAAGTCGCGTGATTCGGCATCAACACTGAAATGTGGGGGTCTGGGGGTGCCAGCGCGGCGCGGGAAAACTTGCGTTAAGTTTTGCGGAGGGGTGGCTTTTCGTCCCAGCCCCGAGGCCCAGCGAGGGCCCCCAGAGGCCGAAAACGGCCAAAATCCACCGCTCCGATTTTCTGGAGCGTCGGATCTCTGGGGACGTCGATCTGTCATCACCCGATTTTGTCCTCGTCCTGGCTCCGTCTTACGGCGGCGACATTGGATAAGGAATGTCTTCCTGGGGCCCAGACCCTGGCGCATTCCTTCTTGTTTCGAGGCGATGTGGGTGGCCCACGTTTGGCCGCCCATCGTTCGCCAGACCCTGGTTGCCTTATCGACGGTCTCCTTATCTCAAGCCTCCACCGTATCCCAACGTGCAGTCTAATCCTTAACTATCTGAAGCCTTCCTGACCTAAAGCCTCATAGAATCCCTGCTCTAATCCCTAGAAGGCTTCCTTGCCTAATCCCCGAAGGCTTCCTTATTTACATTTCAGATATAATCCCTCGAAGGCTTCCTTATCTAAAACCTTCCCTATCTAAAAGGTCTACGTGCAGTTCGACCAGCACGAGGAGCTGAGCGGGGGCGTGCCCAAGGACCGCGACGACGGCCATGCGCTGCACTGTTTTTTTTTACGCGCAGGGAATGCCTGCCCCCCCCCCCCCCCCCTTGCAGACAGGCAGGAGGAGGAGGAGGAGGAGGAGGAGGAGGAGGAGGAGGAGAAGGAGGAGAGGGAGGAGGAGGAGGATGAGGAGGAGGATGAGGAGCAGGGTCAAGGATCGGGGCTTCTCGGGGGATCGAGGATCGAGGGTCGAGCCTCGAGGCTTCTCGAGGATCGAGGAGCGAGGATCGAGTGTGTGTGTGTGTGTGTTTGTGTTTTTCCACGCACGTCATTGTTTTGCCGATCCGCGCGGGCCCTCGCGTCCCCCCCCTCCCCCCCCCCCCATGGAGCAGATCTTGGCTGTTTGGGCGCCTGCTTCGAGCAGGTGGGGCCTCCCCCCCATAGGACGCCCTGTTGCAAACAGCCGCGCGAAGCAGAGGTCCGGAGCCAGACCTCCCCCTCCCTGTCGCCCAGTGTCGAAGCGCCGCATAAGAAAACGCTCACAAGGAGTAGGATCGAGGATCGAGGCTTCCAGGTGTTTCTCCACGCGCTCCCGTCCTCCGGGGGCCTTCGGGCGCTTGCCGGGACCGCTGGACGCGTCCCGACTCTGCCAGCCACGGTGTCCGCGAAGGGACCGTCACGTGAGAGTGCAGCTCGGCCGCTTCTCGGGGCGTGCGCGCGCGCGTGGCGCGATGCGGAGCGGGCGAGGTGGGCAGTGGCAGGCAGGATCTGGGCAGCCAAGGTGGGGTTGCAGGGACACGGGCCAACAAAAAGGCATGGGCTGAGAGTGTGAGGAGGAAGCGGTGCCCACACCGCCACCCTTCGCAGGTGTCCCCCTTTTTTGGCCTTTTTGGGTCTCATCGGAGGCCCTCGTCGCCACCGCTGGATTCGAATTGAAATTTTGGTCAGAACGCATCCCGGCAGATGTCCGGGGAGTAGCAGTATTGGTATTTTTTTGGTTTCCCCAGAGCACTTGAGGGCAGAGCGGGTCACGTGATGAGTAGTGCGTTTTTTGGTAGAGGCATCCATTTTGCCATCTTCCTGGATTCAAAGGGCTGCGATGTATGCCAGTCCAGTCCTCCTGAAGCCATCTCAGCGTCGGCTCTCCGCAGGAGAACGTGAGTGTAGAGTTCGGCGAGCAGTTTTCTTCTTTCCGCTGTTGCCACCCGTGCTGCGCCGTCTTTCCTCCAGCGCTGTCTGTTCGGAAGCCGCTGTCCTTTCTGCTCCCTCCTCTCTGTTCCTCCTCCTACTCTATTATCCCCCATCCATCTCTCTCCCTGCTCTCCCTCCTCCATCCTCATTTCTCCGCCTCCTCCTCCTCCTCCTTCTCCTCCTCCTCCTCCCCCTCCCCCCCTGGGTCCATCTCTCACACGCTGCTGCCACTATGTGTAGGTTTGTGTTGCTTGAGATGGGGGTGCCGAGGTGGTCAAACATCCCCTCCGGTGGAAGGCGGGGGGCAGGGCCTCTAGCACAATGAGGAGGTCACCCCACCCCTGCGGGCAGAGAGGCCCTTGGAAACATCGAGCGGTGGGAAATTCCGTCCAGCAGTGGTCCCCCCAGCGCGCCCCGACAGAAACTGCGCGCCATGCGCCTCCAGGGGTAATCAGCTTCTGTCCAGTGTTCGTTGTGCATGCTGCCCAGTCGGTGAGATGTGCACTCTGGCAGTTCCTTGTCCCTGCATCGGTCTGTCTCCTCCTGCCTTTCCTCCTCCTCCTCCTCCTCCTCCTCCTCCTCCTTCTCCTCCTCCTCCTCTCCCTCCCTCCCTCCCTCCTTGTCCTTCCCTCCTCCCTCCCTTCCCTCCCTCCTCCTCCCCCCTCGAGGAGGAGGAGGAGGAGCAGGAGGAGGAGCAGGAGGAGGAGGAGGAGGAGAAGGAAGGGGAGGAGGAAGGGGACGAGGAGGAGGAGGAGGAGGAGGAGGAGGAGGAGGACGAGGAGGAGCAGGAGGAGGAGGAGGAGGAGGAGGAGGAGGAGGAGGAGGAGGAGGAGGAGAGGAGGAGGAGGAGGAGGAGGAGGAGGAGGAGTGAGGAGGAGGAGGAGGAGGAGGAGGAGGAGGAGGAGGAGGAGGAGGAGGAGGAGGAAGAGGAGGAGGAGGAGGAGGAGGAGGAGGAGGAGGAGGGGAGGAGGAGGAGGAGGAGGAGGAGGAGGAGGAGGAGGAGGAGGAGGGAGGAGGAGGAGGAGGAGGAGGAGGAGGAGGAGGAGGAGGAGGAGGAGGGAGGAGGAGGGAGGAGGAGGAGGCCGAGGAGGAGGAAGAGGAGGAGGAGGAGGAGGAGGACGAGGAGGGGAGGAGGAGGAGGAGGAGGAGAAGGAGGAGAGGGAGGAGGGAGGAGGGAGGGAGGAGGGAGGGAGAGGAGGAGGAGGAGGAGGAGGAGGAGGAGGAGGAGGAGGAGGAGGAGGAGGAGGAGGAGAGGAGGAGGAGGAGGCGGCAGCAGGTGAGTGGAACGCCTTGCTGATCATCGAGAGCCCCGTTGCCGGGAGGACCGTCCGGCCGCGCTTCTCCCGTTCCGTTCTCTGCGCGGGGCGGGAGAGCTCTGGCAGTGCTGGAGCTCGTGGTGCTCTGCCAGGTGCTGCCGTGGTGGTGGCGCAGGTGCTTCTCGAAGTGGAGCGGGGCAGACGCGGGCCCCACGGCCCTGTTCGGCCATCGCGGTCTTGGCACCTGTTCTTCGATTCGGCGTTCACGTGGCTCGGTCCGCGTAATCTCCGCGCATCGTGCTCCTCTGGGGGAAACGTTCGGATCAGAGATTCAGTAGATGTGGCCGTAGACCCCCTTCTTCTCGTCCCCGTCCTCCTCCTCCTCTCCTCCTTCTCCCTTACTTCCTCATCCGTCCTCGTCCTCCCTGGCCCTCTTCTACCCTGTCTTCTTTTTGCTGCTCTTGCTCTTCCCTCTTCTCCTGGTGCCGGCCCGTCTCGAGGAGGAAGCAGTTATTAAACATCAGAGTGAAGGAGGCCGAATGTTCATTCACTTTGCACGTGTGTGTGGCTGGAGTGGGCTTCCTGGGTGCGGATTGTTGTTGTCGTTCATGTGGTTGACGTCTCATTTCTACCGAATAATTTGTGTTGATGCCCCGTGCCCGGTAACGATTGTATCTGTTCAATCAGAGTGCTTCTCGCGGGGTTCGCACCGTTTTTCTTAATAAAAGGAAAACGAGGTGTCACCAAACTGGGCTGTTCGCCCCCGAACTTCTGATACTTTCTCACTCTTTGTTCCCAAATCGCGCTCTCGCGCGGGACGCTCACACAACTTAAACAGGAATCGCGCTCGCGCGTGGGACTTCCTGACAATGTATTCGAATGCCGCGCCCTCGACACTGGAATCACGCTCTCGCTGCGGATGTCCTCATGCTTCTTTTGGGAATCGTGCTGTCGCTCGAGACTTCCTCATGATTCATGCAGGACGCACGGACGCACGCTTCAGCAACCCGCCTGCTGGACCTGGCCGCCTGGGCCCGCCTTCCCGACCCGCCTGTTAGGGTCTACCCGCCCGATCTGCCCGTTTGGTTCTGCCACGTGTTTTCTGATCCTAGCCCCCCTCTCCTGCTATTCTCTCTCGTGCTCCATCCGCCTCCCTCCCCCTTTGTCCTTCCTTCCATCCGTCCTCTCTTTTTCTGCCTTAGGCGCTGTACGAAATACACGTGCCAAGTGAGAAAGGTTGTCCTCCAAGGGGGTGCGATCGAAGACGATGAGGGCGGGTATCGATGGTTTCGGATATGCTTGTTGACTGGCACGCGAGCAGATCAGAGCGAACTGGCTTAACTTTTGTGTTGTTGCTGTTGCTGTTGCTGTTGCTGTTGCTGTTATTGTTGATGGTGTTGCTGTTGCTGTTGCTGTTGCTGTTGTCGTTGTTGTTGTTGTTGTTGTTGATGTTGGTGTTGTTGTTGTTGTAATTGGTTGTTGTTGTTGTTTGTATTGTTGGTGTTGTTGTTGTTGCTGTTGTTGTTGGGTTCTCAACATTGCAGTAACTTGTTGTGGGTCCACCCTCCGGTAACCATTGTGTTTTTTCAAGTGAAGAGCTTCCCCTGGGGCTGGCACCCTGTTTGTTATCAGGGAGTGTCACTAGGCTCAAACTCAGGACTCCCGCTTCAGCCTGAGACTTCCTTGCATTCTGTATAGGAGTCGCGCTCTCGCTTGGGACGTCCTTAGAATTTATTCAATCGCTTCGCTCATTCCGCCGGCCCATGTTGCATGATCGCTACTGCTTCGCCGTGGGCCCGGGGCCATTGTGGCGCCGCCGAGGAGGAAGAAGATGAGGATGGGGAAGGGGAGGGGAGGAGGAGGAGAGGATAAGAAGGAGATGAGGAGGATGAAGATAAGTCGGAGGAGGAGGAGGAAGAGGAAGGGGCGGAGGAGGAAGCCTCTCGTTGGCATCTTGTGTTGCTCTTGGGGCCAAACAGGGTCGTCGTCAAGATGCTTCTCTGGGAGGCCTCTTGGGGTCTTTTCAGAAGCCGTTCGAGGGCGCCTGGGAGGCATTTTTGAAGTCTTCTGGGGGGCCTCCTGGGGGCCTCCTGGGACCTCTTGGGGGCCTCTTGGCGGCATCTTGGGGCCTCTTTGGGGCCTCTCGGGGCCTCCTGGGGCCCTCTTGGGGCGGAAGGCTCGAGGTTTTGGTTCGTGGTCCCCCTCTTGGGCCCCTCTTGGGGCCGTCTTGGGGCCGTCTTGGGCCGTCTTGGGCGCCTCTTGGGTCGTCTCGGGGCCCTCTTGGGCCCTCTTGGGGCCCTCGTGGAAGCCTCTTGGCCCGTCTTGGGGTGCTCTTGGGGGCCTCCTGGGCCGTCTTGGAGCATCGGATGGCCGAAAAGGGGACAAGGCCCAAATTCTTTCAAAACCATCGTAAAATGTCTGATTTGGGCCTCTCAGGGCCCTCTTGTGAGGCCTCTTGGAGGCCACTTGGAGGCCTCTTGGGCCGTCTTGAGGTCATCATCGGCGTCTTGGAGCGCTCTTTAGGCGTCTCGGGGGCCCTTTGGGCAGTCTTGGGGGCCTCTTGGGGCACTCTTGGCGCGCTCTGGGGGGCCTGAGAAGCCACACCCAGGAGGAAAACCATCTCTGAGTAGCAGTGGTCGGGCGGCGGCCGGGGTACTTTCGCCGGGGGACCCCCAGGGGCCGCCCCGCGCGCGCGAACTAGAAGTATTGTTTAGCAGTTACCGGAGATCTTAGCACGCCTTTGGCCCGTTGGGCCGGCGAATTCAGGGATCGCTCTCTCGGCGCTCTGGAGCCGAGCTCTCGCGGGAGACTTGCTTGCAATTTACTCAAGGATCGCGCTTTTGTTTTGGAATCCCTTGCAGTTCACTCGAGCGCCGCGCTCCCGACACTCAGGCATCCAAGAGTCGCGCTCACGCTTTGGACCCCCTCACAGCTTACTTCGGAGTCGGGGTCTCGCTGCCCTCCGTGGTCCCGTTGCAGCCCTTCGTGGCCCCCTCGCTGCCCTTTGTGGTCCCGTTGCAGCCCTTCGTGGCCCCCTCGCTGCCCTTCGTGTCCCCGTTGCAGCCCTTCGCGGCCCCCTCGCTGCCCGTCGTGGCCCTGTTGCAGCCCTTCGTGGCCCCCTCGCTGTCCTTTGTGTCCCCGTTGCAGCCCTTCGTGGCCCCGTTGCTGCTCTTCGTAGCCCCCTCGCTGCCCTTCGTGGCCCCCTTGCTGCCCTTCGTGGTCCCCCCGCTGCCCTTCGTGGCCC